CATTATATAATAATCATATTCAACTCTAAAAAAATTTTGTTGAAAAAAAATGTTCGAAAAAAATTAGTACATTGCTTGCTATCTTCAATAAAAAAAACGCATTCCGCACTAGTCACTAACTGGGCCTAAAATAGCCCCGAAATGTTTATGAACTTGTCCCAAATTAGTCCCAGGCTAGTACCGAACTAGCCCCGAAAAAATGCTGAATTAGTCCCGAACTACTAGCAAACTAGTCCCTAAGTAGTACCAAACTAGACGCAAACTAGTACGAAACTAGTACCGAACCCGATCTCGTCCCAAACTATTCTCGACCTAGACACGAAGTAGACTAGCACTAGTAGCAAACTAGTCCCGAACCTATACCAAACTAGTTCAGAGTTGGTATCAAACTAGTCGCTAACTAGTACGAAAATAGGCCCAAACTAGAACCGAACTAGTCCCGAACTCTTTCCAAACTATTTCCAAAGAAGTACAAAACTATTCCGTAATAAATAACGAACTAGGAGCGATCTAGTACTAAACTAGCGCCGAACTAGTTCAGAACTGGTCACAAACTACTACAGAACTGCCGTAATTGGTCCCAAAAGAGGAACTATGTATATCCACGAGCAGTGTCTCTAAAACAGCTGATTGGATTTTGCCGAAGCTGTTTTTTCATTTAGTTTAGCTACTTGGCAAATTTGGTACGATATATTTGAGAAACTGAACGGCTCGAATCTATATCAACAAGAACAAGAACTTGCACATCTTGAAACTTTTAGAAAATATTGCCGAATTTATAAAATCACCTGCAGTTGTGTATAAAAAAATTAATGAGAATGTCGATCAAGATTGTTCCCTGAATTGCATAAATTCGCGGGCTCCAATGGGCTCAATGTTTCTTCAGAGATCTCTGAATTGGTTGCAAAATATTTTGGGAAGGAGAATGTCGAAATTTCGGATTCTTTTCATGCTTAAGCTCCACCAAAATTTACTTTTCAATAAGAAGAGCGCTTCTTTGAACTCTTATGCGGCAACAACCGGGCTTAAAACACTATTAGCTTGCTCCGATTTGGTGGAGTTTTGGATAAAGGTGAAATACATAATGAATATTTAAGTATCCTGCCCTGAGTTCAAAGGCTTTAAGAACTCTCATTCCATTTAAAACATTATATTTTTGCGAAGTCTGATTTGCAGCTGTAGAAGCTGTAACAGAGAGCGTACATATGTCGCTCAAAAATTAATGTGGAGAAAGAAATGTGAGTTGCAGAGTCTGAAAAAATTCGCGAAGAGAAGCAAGATTTGATAAACTTGATATTGGACGTTTTCACCATTAGTCGCCGTTTTTACTTTTAACTGTGGGTAATTGAAGTGTAAGTTTTGTATAGAACGCCATAACAAACCACTAAGCCGGTAAGTACGCCACGAAGTGGCAAAATTTAGAACCCCCTGCATAGCCGATGAATTGGCAAGGCGATACGCGGTCATTATCTATTTGTTTCCTTTTTTAATTTGTGCGCAACATTGTTGCTAGTGACATGCTGCTGGTAACACTACCTTGTGCAACATACTCGTACAATGAAGGCCATATTGCCGATGTTTTTTCTGTCTTTAATATTTTCATTGGAATTGTCTATTATATTGGAAAGCAATTTTTACTTACTTGCTGCTTTGAAATGATGTTGCATCAGGACTTAGGGATAAATTTAGAGACATGTTAGACACTTAACTCAGTTGCTATTTAATTTTTTTTCCCCAATAGAAGCAAGCTATTTTTTTTATTTAATTCTTTCTTTAATTGTTTGGAGCCTAAATCAATGTAGCATTAAGTGAAAAAAAAAAATTGCATGTTGACTCCAGCCTTAAAAGGGTTAACAAAAAAGTTTTAACAATGCATTTTTAATATTGAATTAAAGCTCAATAAAAATTATTTAATTTGAATTAAAAATAAAATTTTAATATATAAACTTTTTCAAATATAAATATGTATGCCTACAGTAAATTTATTTATAGATACACCTAAATGTTTTAAAACTATTTAAATTTAACTACTAATTAAAACGTATAACAAAACTAAGTTTTAATTTTACAGTAATTTACAATATAGTTTTTTTATCGCCTCATTTTGCATCATCTAACAGTTTATATATGCTTTTATTTTTATTAATCTTTAAACAACAACTTTCTCGAATACTTTGAATAGGCTCGTTAATTTAATTTTTTTTTATATCTTTTTTTTACTTTTTTCTAAATAATCGCTATACATTTGTAGTTTGTTTTGGGTTATTATTGGCTTATGCTTAGAATATCATCAATGGTAATGATAAAAAACATCAATATAGTTTTTCGTTTGACTAAGTTAAAACCAAAAACAATTAGTTACACACATAACTAACAAACATACATACAATTTTTTTTTTACTTATAATACAGATTTTTTTTTAAATTTTCTTATTTTGGCATTTTATTTTATTTTTTGTTGTTTTATGGTATTTTTTTATTTTATCTTTCATTTTAATTTATTTCTTTACTTTGTTTTATCTAATTTTTTAACGTTTTTATTTGATATAATTTAGGTTGATTTAATAAAATTTAGTTTAGTTTAATTCAATTTGTTTTAATTTAATTTTATTTTATTGAATTTCGTGATAGCACGAGTTCAAAAGCTCGATGAGTTTTAGGTGAATAATTTTAATGTGTATTTAGCTAAGTTTATATTTTAAATTTTACCTAGCCTGAAATATTTTTATAACTCATAAATGCGGAATAACGTAATATTCCAATTTAACTCACAAATTTATAAATTTCACTATAAAAAAATAAAAAAAAATAAAATTATTACTTTCCTTTAGTTTCACTTTTGCCACGGATTGCGTCCATGGTAAATACACTGGGACAGTAGTTGAGTTACGTCAACTAAATATGTTAAGATAAATATATGTATTTGGTTGACTTTTTTCTACGTTTGCCCTTTACCATGTTAGAAGGAGGTTCTTATAAATTTTCAATATATTGATCAACCTTTCGTTTATACATATTTTTCAAGTGAATTTTTTTTTTTATTATATTTTCTTCACCTGGCCGGTAACTTGTTTCTTCCTTTAATACTGTACAATTAACGCATTTTATGTAATAAATTTATTTACATGAGTATGTATGTATATTTTCGTAAACAGGTTTTGGTATATGACACATGAGGTAGAAAGAACTGATGATTTTTGACAACGATAGAAAAATAAAACATTTTCTACTTTGTTTGTTTTTACTGTTGTTGCTAGACTGGTTAAACTGTTTTCGAAAAAAAAAACATTTATAGCTGTACTGTTTTGGTATCCACAAAATGGACACAGCGCGCTTTACGAAGTGGTCGGCACTATTGAAAAATCGCTACAAACTTAAGGAATACATCCATTCCAAATTCTTGTTGACGACATGTGCTCTAATGGAGGGTGCACCGGGTGATATCTCTAAGTGGGCCAACCAGAATGGATTGGAGGTTAACCCCTCCTAGACAGAAATGGTATTGTTTACTAGAAAAACAAAGGTGACCAAACTTTCTCTACCAAAACTAGGAGAAATTACTTTGAAGCGCTCCTCCCAGGCGAAATACCTTGGAATCATTCTGAGCTCCAAGTTGAATTGGAACAAGAATTTCGAGGAAAGATCTAAGAAATCTCTAGCAGCATACTAAACGTGGAAAAGGACCTATGGAAAGCGATGGGGACTATCAACGTACGTCAGTCACTAGGGCATGTACATCACAGTCATCAGACCAATTGCAACCCACGGGCCCTTAATATGGTGAAGGGCTCTAGACAATGGGAATGACAGGTTACAAAGTTCAATGCCACGCACCTCGGCCTGAAAGATAGATTTAACTTGCCCCATGCTGGTGCAAAGGAGCTTTCTGGGTTGTATGGTGTAGACTACTGTTCCTATCCCGTTTTCGGTCTTGGAGCTATCAGTTCATCCAAGGCTTTGGTCATTCGTTGTACCAGTTATTTTTGTTGTGGATAAAGACCTTGTTTTGTGTAAAGTTAAAACTCGGAAGGCACGGGTCCAGAAAAACCAATGCACATCCCTTCCCGTTGTTTAACATTGGCCCCTGAGATGAGCCTTGCTATAAAGAATATATTTAGCTTCCTTCTTTATAACAAAACAAAAATAACAAATTTGCTGATCTTATAGTCACTCATATAATAATCACAACTGCCTTGAGAATTTATGCCTTGGATTAGCTTGGGTTCAGAATGTTTATTAAGCTGGCATTTCAGGGTACTATTTTATATATATAANGGGGGGGGGGGGGGGGGGGGCTCGGGCGCCCCCTGTCCCTACCTGGCTACGCCCATGTACTGACGTCAGAGAGAAAAACTAAAACCTCAATTTTACTATATCTGACCCGTAATTTCGAGCGTATATTGATCTTTTCGTGTATTTTGAAAATTTTTTGTTTTTGTTGAACGGTGTTATGAATTAGATTAGCATTGAAAATCTCCCATCAGCTCGAAGCTTTCACTGAACTCTCAAATTTGGTATGGAATATTTTGCTTTTTCCAAATTGGTTAGTTCTTTTTTATATCTTTCATTATTACCTTTTAAAACTCAAGAACATTTAAGTAATTTGTTGAATGAAAATGAAAATGTCAATGGAAATTGTATTCGAGTCTCGATTTGGGTGAAATTGAAAAAAAAAAATAATTAATAAATTTTTTTCGTAGCAACTTAAAAGTTTTATAACTTTGAAAGATTTATACGTCTAAAAAATTATTTATTTGGTAAACAAATGTGATCGAAATTGGTTCTCAAATGGAAATTTGTTGTATGAATATTTACAAATTTCAAATTGAAATTTACAATCGAAATTGCCCACCCAATTTGAAGCTCGTGGAAACATACTTTTATAGAGCAGAGTAGATTTAGAGATTAAAGCCTTTATTACTGGATACAAAATTTTCTATTTGAAAAGTCACTGATTTGTTAAAGCGCCCTCGTATTAAAAATAATGTGGTTTTTATAGTTGTTTTTTTTGCATCTGAAATTGCTTTGCTTGTGAGAATTCTATACCACAAAAACAGAGATTTAAACCAATTTTCCAATACTTTTTTACAATCCCCAGAATTTGCAAATCATATTTCAGTTTTTTTTTGTTTTTCCTCCATATTTTTCCTTTGGCATACTTTGTTTTTATTATTGTTAACATATTTGATTTGCTTTCTTACTTTTATGTGCGTATTGTAGTTGTTGCTATACACGCATATCTTTATAATTTTTTTTTTGCGTTTTTTTTTCGTACTTTGGTTGCAGTGATTTGTAAGTGATTTGAACTAAGCTTAAAAATAGTTACACTTCCAACATTTTTAGTTATTCTTTTTTTTTTAATAAATGAGTATAGTTATGAGTATTTGCTTCTAACTGTCCATTTTCTGTTTCGCTATTTTTCTTATGATTCTTTCAGCTATCTTTGTTTTTTTTTCTTTCTCAGAATTTCCTTTTCAATTTCGCTACTTACTTACATATATTTTTTAATAATTTTATTTTATGATGCATTTATTTCTATTATTTATTAACTCCCCTTAGTTCCCCGTGTTCCTTTCATTCCGCCTATACTTTCTATTGTGGCTGATAGGGTCGTTGGTAGTTGAGTTGTTGTGGTTGTTGTTGTTGCTGATACGCCGGCTGTTGGTATTGTTGGTCATAGGTTGGCATTTGAGACTGTATTGTTTGTTGTTGGGCATAGTCATATACCCCATACGCGCTGGCATCACCAGCTGTGGCCTCGGGCACCACACTCTCCTCGGGTATAGTGCCAGCCATGGCGGCGAATGGATTGTTGGCCACGTGACCAGTCGCACCATAATTGATGGCATTCGGCTGTTGCATTTGACTTTGTTCGGTGTATTGTGGTGGTGCGCCCTGTTTTTTGGAGCGAAGAAAAAAATACGAAATATTGAGGAAGATAAAAATAAAAAAATATTTTGTTATGGAAATGCATTAAAAGGCAATTCGAACAAAAAAAAAAGGCGACAACAAAAGGTTAATGTATCTTTTGTTATGACAAAGTCTGGTCTATGTTCGAAAATCAAAATTATGCATTAACAACAAAAAAAACACTAAATACGTTAATAGTTCTGTGCGTATTTAATGGCGCCATTGCATGTCAATTTTATTTGTAAATAATTTACGTCAAAAATTATCTTGATTTCTGAACTTACGAACGACGTCTCTTTGGTGTAACCACCCTGACTGGGATCTTCAGCTATGGCTCCCATTGGTGGCGCCCACACCTGCTTCTCTTCAGTCGGTGGTTCGGCCCAGGGTTGTAGTTCGCCGGAAGCGAAGATGCCGTAGAAGGTGCAGCCGACTAAATGTACGCAAGCGGCAAGCGTGAAGACTGTGGTCCAGCAGCCGGTGGGCTATGAAAGATAAAAATACATAAATTTTTTAACCCATTCAGGTCCTTGAGGTTATATTTAAGTAAATAAAAATTATAGTCTACATATCGACGGCTGAGTGCAAGATCGACCTATCTCGGAGTCGGAGCCGGTTCGAAAACGGCGTATGTCAACAAATTTTTCAAGAACACTCTATTTCCGAATTTGATTGAAGAATGCTCTAACTCAGAAAATGGTTCAGGAACGCCCAATCTCAATGTAATTTCAATATATCGGCATCTGTGACAGAGCTTTCTTGAGCCATTTTTTGAAATAGGGCATTTTCGAACTGGCTGCCGAAATAAATCGATCTTCGACTCAGCCGTCGATATATAGAGTTAAATTGAAACAGTTTGACTTTTCTTTCCGACAGTAAACGAGGCATCTATGACGCACTAGAAATAGGTGACTTAAAGAAAATCTCTACTCGCTGTACCTATATCTCGGGGTGTGTTACTACCCCTTCTGCTTCGCTTTTCATCGGAAGCCTTTTAAGTTCTTACTTGCGGAGGTCACCTACATAGCTCAACCTGGTCTTAGAGAAGTTATCTCGACGCTCAGTGCACTAAACGATCTGGCAAGTGGGAGGCAAAAAAAATGGTCTGGGGGTTCATCCCTCCAAAGCTGAACCACTGCTATTTGTGAAGGCGCATTGGTAGGGTGAGACGCGTTTGACACCAATTACTATCTAATCAACCTACATCTTGGACAGCTGGACAGCTTTAATAAAAAGTTCATTCAAAGATCTGCTGCGGTTTTCCAGAAAATTGATTTAGACATCTACCGCATATCGCATTTTGCCAGTGCGGGTTCCGAGTGTACCCTTTCATTAGAACTTCCTCTCTCACATAACTTGTCACGCCGGCCGACGTCCATGTTGGCAAAAAACGGTTCTACAAGTAGGTAACTTTTTCAGCGCACGATACATACTGACCAATCGACGCGCGGAAATCCGCTCTAATTTCACTGCGGTATCTGTTGGCGCAACCCCTAGAGGAAGGACTGGGAGCTCCAAGACCTCCAAGATAACTCCACAATTATCTACATGGTTAGCTATAAACAAAATCTAGGAGTAGGGAGTGGGAATCACTAAAAGGACCTCTCATTAGATCTCTGCTTTAGGCTACCAGACCACTGCAGTGTATTCCTAGCAGAACTCGCGGCTATAAAATAAGCTGCACTCTCTTAGCCTGCCTTCAGTAGCAATATACTACGATAGCCAAGCTGCTATCGCCCATGACTGTGATAGGATGTAGGAAGGTCCCTAACGATGTACTACTCACATTGTATACTTAATTGGAAGGCGTGCTAGCAGAATCGGTTTGGCGGCCAATAACTTCGGCCGTAGTTGACGCGACGTGAAAGAAATAGAGAGCGTGGAGCACTACCTCTGTCACTGCCATGCCCTTATGTGGGGGAGAAGACGCCCATTTCACCACCACCTTTTGTCTGTTTGGCCGACCTAAGCGAAGCAGGCATTCACGAATTATCGAGCTTCCTGAACGGATGGGTTCGATCTCGAGCTCTCAGTTGGGGCTAAGTGTGGCTCTCTGAAGGCAGCCGCTTCATCCTACCCAACCTAGCCTAACGCCAGAAACACTTAGATAACTCGTAGCGTAAAGCGAATCTAACTCGGTTAGATAACTATTCTTGTGGCATTGCATGTACGAGTCCACGCTTACGATAACTTTTGTCTTCCGAAAGGCACTTACTGAAAGCAGAGCCACTTCTTTAGCACATCAATTGCCATTTCTCCGAACTGACAGGCAAGATCCGACACTCAACAAGATCCGACGCTCAACATGACATAACCCAATTCTTCTTTACTTACCTACCCCCTTAAATCCATTCAACTTCCACTTTGACCCCGTCGAAACAGTACTTTTCTGGGCCCACCGTGAGTTGAGCTTTACGCCAACGATTGATAGACCAGTCGATTCAGACAGGGCTTCGTAGTGGCGTTATGACAACAACAATGGGATTTAAGAAGTCTGTCAACACCAACACAAAAAACTTATATTTATGTAGGGGGTAGAGTTTTTGAATATTTAACGGATCTTAACCGGATATCCGGATAACAGCCAAGAATGGCTTTTAATATATGCAAATACATAGGGCTGCGGCTAGCCCTCTTTCGATGTATTCTTTAATATTCATGATTCGTACAATTATTACTTGCAATTCACATATTTAGTTGTTATTAATTGGACTATCAATGTGTTTAAACTTAAAGGCATATGCATTACTTACATCTCTGTAAATCAATCCATCGAGGGCATAGGGCACAATTATGCCAGCCAAAGTGCCAATACCATTCGAGAGACCCATCAAAATACTAGCATAGCGTGGTGCGATATCCAGATGATTAACATTGTAGCCCGAAATGGCAAACCCACTGAAGGCGACGCCACAGGTGAGAGCAAACATGGCGCCAGTCTAAGAGCATGAAATAAATTGACTATTCACAAAAGTCCCTACCACAAACTTACCGCCGTATTGGAGTGCGCGACGAACAGAAAGAACAACCCCTCCATGCCGAAACCGCCACAATTGAAGAGCTTTCGCACATTCGTCGTCGACATAATGCCATTCTTACGCAAATGATCCGCCAACATGCCGCCAAATGGCACTATAGTTGTCATAATCAAATGCGGCAACGAACCAATGAAGCCCGCCTCCTCGACCTTGAAGCCAAATTTGTGTTTCAGAAATGAAGATTGGAAGAGCACGAGTAGATAGAAGTTCCATGAACGACAGAAATTCGCAACGATAATGGCATAAACCGGCATGGAACGCACCATCTCGCGCCAGGGTGTGGTGCTTATCGATGGCATCGATGGCTGCATGGACGTCTCGCCCAACGACTTCTCGATATACTTCAGTTCAGGTACGCTAATGGCAGGATGTTTGCGGGGATTCTCAAAGCAGAGCCACAGCCAAAAGAGGTACCTAAGGGGAGCAGGGAGAGAAAAAGGTGGTGTGCGTGAGATAATATGCATTTGAGAAACATTGTTTGAGACTAATATTGTATGCATTTGGTTTAGTTATGGTATTTTAAAATTTATAAAATTTAATTAAAATTTAATTAAAACTATTTTATGAAAAGCTTTTTCAGTGTATTTTTCTATTTTTTGGGTTTAAATTATCGGTTTACTGACAAAAATTCAGCACTTAAAATTTGTATGAAAAAAATTTAAATTTTATACTTTGATTATTGTCTACATTTAAAAAAATTTTAATTAAACACATGTGTCATAGTTTTATATATTTATATTGTTTACGCTGAATTACAACAGAAAAATTCTACAAATATATACTGTAGAATTTTGTTTGCAACCATTTGCGTTTAACGAATTAAAAAGCTCCTTTAAAAACTATTTTCAGTGTACTTTTTTATTTTGTTTTTAAAACATTCGTGCATAAAATTTGAGATTAAAGAATATATGCATTTTCAAATGTGAATTAACCATTCTTTAAGTTTAACACCGCCATTTTTTTTGATACAATAACAAATAAACTTAAAAAATACACTGCAAAAAAAATTTACGAATTTTTTCAACAAAATATAAATATTTCTTATGGAGTAAAACACCATCTACGTTTTACACATTTACATACACAAAATTTAAAAAAAAATTGGAGTAAAAAATGGGAAAATAAAATAAGTAAAAAGAATATAATTTATAAAAATTTGCACTCCACAAATGAAAAGAGCTTCTACATACAACAAAAAAAATTAATTATTTTTTATTTGGGGAGTAAAAAATGGCAAAATAATAGCAGTCTTATTATGAACCACACATTTTAAAACAAGTAAATACTACTAAAGTCGGTGTCAAGGGGCATCGATCTACAAAAACTGTCAATTTGACACTTTAGTCGCACAACAAATGTACACTGCGAAAATAAAAAAAAAAAATATTATATAAATCTAAATTAATGGAAAATACCCCTCCAACAAAATAACGGCGTACGAGTTTTAAAAAATTTTACTTTAAATTCGAAAATTTAGATGATTTGTTTTTTTTTTTAATTATAAATTTGATTCGTCTCCAAGTATTAAACTTCCATGTCGTATTTGGTATTCACTACTTACCATGTTATGCCAAACGTGCCATAAGCGTAGAAGGGCGCCTGATAGCCAATCGCATCGGCCAGCAGACCGGACAGCGGTAGACCGACAACAACACCCGCATACGAGCCGCTGAACGCCAAAGTTGCTAAACGCGAACGCTCCATGGGTGGCGCCCAAAATCTCCAAATGCCATGGCAGGCCGGATAGGTGACACCCTGTTGGGCAGAAGGGGACAAAGAAAATGCGAAAATAATTTACATTTGCAGGCACACAAAAGAAGGCATTAAATGAAAAAAAAGACAGAAACAGTTTATACAAAGAAAAAGCGCTGACACTGAGGGCACACGAATGAAGAGAAATCACATTTTTTTTTGTTATTGTAATTTTAGTATATTTATTTTTATATGATTTGCAGAAAAATTCAGCAGCGACAGGAAGTGCCGGATTTACAGATGATGAAGCTTTGTCGTCAAAAATAAACGAAATAAAACCAACAAAGAAAAAAAATCGAGTAACTCATCAAAAGCGCTGGCAAAAAGGATTTATTTAGCAATAGCATCCCTCCATGCCCAAAAGCAGATTACAGCATGTTTTCATTTCGGCTACAACACAACACAAGCGCATTAATAATATCTACGAACATGAGCTCATACGTACGTACATACATATGCTTGCCTGATTTACTATTTCAGCAAATTCAAATACTTTCTTCATATGATTCAATTTCATTTTGAATGCCTCTGTAAATCATACGGC